CTGGGCTACATCAGACCCCGTCTAAATAAATAAATGGAATTTGACTTCAGCTTCCATATTATGCTGATGACGCATTCAGAACCCTGGTTCTGTTTCCCCGGACTGTGTCTATGTTGTGCCTGCCCCGCTGTGTGCCGCTCTGGGCTCTGGGGGATCTTGGGAGACTTCATCTTGTCAGGTTTCTGCCCCAGTCCACACCTGGAGGTGATGGTGGGGTCCCCACCCTGTCTCTCGGTGCTCACTGCCCCTCTAACCTTGTGTCCGAGAAACAGGAGTGTATACCATTATACTCTTGTATACCTGTTACAAGAGTATATACAACAGTGTATACCTGTTAATACTCTTGGCTAGGCTTGGCGGTGCACACATGTCGTTATGGTGCACACGTGTCGTCATGGTGCACACATGTCCTCATGGTGCACACGTGTCACGGTGCACACATGTCATGGTGTACACGTGTCATGGTGCATACGTGTCACAGTGCACACGTGTCATGGTGCACACGTGTCACGCCAGCGCTTTGGGAGGTGGACATAGGAGGATCAGGAGTTCAAGGTCATTCTCCACATGTGAGAAGTTTGAGGCCAGCCTGGGCTACGTGAGGCCCTTGACTGGGGAGGGAACAAAAAGAATCTTAGTTGATAGAGATGAAGACAGACAGGCAGCACACAAATGTTCACGTCCATAGCAGTTCATGTCACTTTGGGAAATAGCAGGATACATGGGGGTGGGGGAGACACTGTAGGTGGGCGGGACTAGGATCAGAGAAGCCTCAGCGTCTACCCAGAGAGGAAGTGTAACGCAATCTTAACTGGTCTTATTAATAACAACAAACCCAGAACCAGATATTGGGGTGAACGCTGAAAGATCAGAGAAGCAGAACAAGCCACAGCTTCCTCACCTCGACAACTCCTCAGATGACCCTGTTTCCTCAGACTGGAAGCCTCTGTGTCCTCATCCGAATGGATCTCAGCTGAAATGCTGCTAAAAGCCTAAAAGCTTAACAGGGCTCTCTAGTTCCTGGTCCTCACGCCTTATATACCTTTCTGCTTCCTGTCATCATTTCCTGGGATTAAAGGCGTGTGTCACCATGCCTGGCAGTTTCCAGGATGGCTTTGAACTCACAGAGATCCTGATGGATCTCTGCCTCCCAAGTGATAGGATTAAAGGTGTGTGTGCCACCATTTTCTGGCCTCTATGTCTGTCTAGTGGCAGTTCTGTTCTCTGACCCAAGATAAGTTTATTAGAGTGCACAATATCACCACAAAGAATCAGAGAGGCTCCTCTTGAGTTGGAAGAGCCATGTGAGGACAGTGCAGTGTAGCAAAAAATTAAAAAATAAAAAATAACACACTAATTTTGGAGAGCTCCAAATGTGGATTTGAGTTCCAGCTTTTGGCTGACTAGCTTGAGTGAATTAACCACTTTGAGCTCCAGCGTCTTCTTGGAAAATGGAATAATAACTATCTGATCAAATATTCTGATGGTAAAGAGAGGTACCGTGTGTGAGGTGTCTAGAATACAGTGGCCACTGGATCAATAGTAAAGAAAACAGAGAGCTAAGGAGGAAGGGATAGAAGGTGTGTCTGAGACAGGTCTGGCTTCTCAAGTGTGTCTATAGTGTAGGCGGCCCGGGGCTCCACTGGGACCTACAGTGAGCATGCAGAATGACTGTAGGATGCTTGATCTAGGGTTACGTAGGGGGAGTTGTCACAAAAAGGGTAGACATGAGAGCCCTCCCAAGGAAAACGGATAGGGAGAATAACAGGGTCACAGGTAGCATCCCTCAGCCGGGCGGTGGTGGCACACGCCTTTAATCTCAGCACTTGGGAGGCAGAGCCAGGCGGATCTCTGTGAGTTTGAGGCCAGCCTGGGCTACAAAGTGAGTTCCAGGAAAGGCACAAAGCTACACAGAGAAACCCTGTCTCGAAAAACCAAAACAAACAAACAAAAGAAACAGGTAGCATCCCTCTAACTTTATATCTGAGAAACAGGATGCTATACCCCTCCCCAGTCAGGGCTTCACATAGCCCAGGCTGGCCTCCAACTTCTCACATGTGGAGAATGACCTTGAACTCCTGATCCTCCTCCCTCCACATCCCAAGGCACTCACGTGACAAGTGTGCACCACCATGCCTGTCCACAAACCTTTAATAATAGGTTATAGGATGATAGAGTATCCCATTTTTCATATACAAGGTTAGAGGGACAGTGGGGTTTTTACACTGGATAGTGACAGAAATCCAGAGGGATGGGCTTGGGAGGGCAGCTCATGTTTAGGGTCACCGCATTAGGACATGATAATTGGACCCACCCCCTCCTGTGGACATGACCAGGGAAGGGATGAAGAAGCTTAACTCAACTTTGAAGAGAGAGAAGTCAGAACCAGTTAAGCTTGGAGGCTGTATCCCAGGCCGGTGTTGGCTGAAAGGCATTGGCTGAGTGTCTCCAAGGGGGAACTAGGGAGGATATCCTGCTGGGTGCCCTCAAAAGAAGATTGATTTTGACCCAGTGCGGGAGCAGAAACTGTCCGGGGCTGTTGTGCTGACCCCCTTTCCCTTCCTTCTGGTCTGAGAATGCAGATCAGGGCTTAAAGTAACCCCTCTCCACCCACACGTCACTGCAGCAGACCTCCCAGAACCCACTGGGATCCCTTCTCTGCCCGGATCCCCAAAGGGACACCAGATCTTGTCTAACCAACAGCCCCCAGCTGGTGGCTACAGTTTTAGACACGGAGGGAGAGATGGGAATGAGGCCTGAGAAAGAGATCTGCACAGAGGGGCCTGTGGAAGCTGAGACGGGAAGGTGAGCAGACCCACAGAGGATGAGAAAAGAGAGACTGAATTGGGGGGGAAGAGAAAAAGATTTGCTGAGAAGCTGATGAAGTGCAACTGAGAAAACTGTTGCCATGGTGACAGGTCCAGAGGAGGGAATAGGAATATAAATCGGATTATGAATTTTAGGGGATCTTGTATGTGCTGGGGTGGGGGTCTCAGAGGCAGGCCTCCCACTACCAGGCCCTCACTACTAGACTTCATCAGCCCGTGAGGAACGGGTTTCCCAGGAGACAGACCAGGAGCAGCAGTGAGAGGACCCTGAGCTCCAGCATGGAGGGAGACAGAATACAGCTGCATTCTTACCTCCAGGGGTCCCTGGCCTCTTCCAGCACCCCTCTCCCCTCAGAGCCCCAAAGAGCAGAAAGGAGAAGAACTTGGTTTAAGCACCTACTTACTGTTTGCAGAGCGCTGTGTGGACTCCCTGAGCCTCCTGCTGGTTCACCGCTCCTGCCTGGTCTGTCAAGCAGAGATGACAGCCACCTGTCAAAGGCTGTCCCCTGAGTTCAGGTTCAGAGCTGGAAAGCAGCATCCAGAGGGCTGGACACTCTGCTCCAGGCTCAGCCGTCCTCTTCCCAGCCCTCTGCTTACCTCAGGAGCCTGCTTCTCACTCTTCCGCTTGCCCTTAAGGCAGGCCGCACACTCTGGAAGGGGATCAGAGGGCACACTAGTTTGGAGGCCCTGCCTCTGTTCTTGTATGCCAGCCAGAGGCAGTGAGGCTCAGGGGTGTCTGTGCTCAGCGGGAGGCCCAGGCGTGCTTTTGAGAGCAGCCTTGGAGAAGTGGAGAGGAAGGGCTTGGGTTGAGACACTCCCGGAGCAGGATGAGGATGGTAGGCAGCTCAGAGGCCAGGCTATTTCTAGCAGTCCTGAGAACTCAGAGCCGGAACTGGGGCACGTGGAGAACTGGGAAGCAGCAGCCTCCAGTGCATCTGTCCGTCCGTCCGTCCACATAGCAGCAGGAGTGGCTGGGGTGGGTGTGTGCCTGCAGGTCCCTGCCAGTACAAATGCCAGCAGGGACGGAGGATGACAAGGGAAGGTCCTCCCTCTCCCCCCATCCCTTGGGCTTCTGTACAAACAACAGCTTTGCAAAGGGCACCAGTATCTGATGTGCATATCAAGCAAGGCCTGGGAGTGGGAGGCCAGCTTTGACGCTGTGACCTGGGCAGCGGTGCCAACACCACCCACCCCCTTCAGGAGGATAGGAAAGGATTCAAGGCATCACTGACCCTCCCCGTCAGTCTCGGTTTTTCTTTCTGGTGTCAGCCTTTGACGATCAGAGCTGTGGTCTGGTGTGGGCCATGCTTTAACTGGAAAGTCCCTCCCAGGGGTGTCAGCAGCTCAGAAATGGATAGACTTCAAGAGGGGTTAAAAGTAGCAGTTAGTTCTTGGGTCTCTTGGCCACTTGGCTGGAGATCCGGAGTCCTACACCTCCCTCCCTAGCTGTGATCTATCTCCAGGATCTGCTCCCTTCTGCTGTGTGGCATTTAAGCCTAACAGGTAGCATCTCTCTAACTTTATATCTGAGAAACAGGATGCTATACCCCTCCCCAGTCAGGGCTTCACATAGCCCAGGCTGGCCTCGAACTCACAGAGGTTCTTGGGTCTCTTGGCCACTTGGCTGGAGATCCGGAGTCCTACACCTCCCTCCCTAGCTGTGATCTATCTCCAGGATCTGCTCCCTTCTGCTGTGTGGCATTTAAGCCTTCTCCACATTCCACCCACATCCCAGGAAGGCTCCTGAGTCTCTTTCCCTGCGCCCATCAGAGGTGCCTATCGACAACCTGATGGACTTTCTTAGTTACTGTTCTATTGCTGTGAAGAGACGCCATGACCACGGCAACTTATGAAAGAAAGCATATTTAATTGGGGGCTTGCTTACAGTTTCACAGAGTGAGTCCAGGACCATCATGGTGGAGGTAGGGCAGCAGGCAGGCATGGTGCTGGAGCAGTAGCTAAGAGCTTACATCTGATCCACAGGCAGGAGGCAGAGAGAGAGAGAGACTGAGCCTGGCATGGGTTTTTGAAATCTCAAAGCTCACTCCCAAAGACACACCTCCTTCAATAAAGCCACGCCTTCTCCAACGAGGTCACACCTCCTAATCCTTCCCAAACAGTTCCACCAATTGAGGACCAAGCATTCAAATATATGAGCCTATGGGGATCATTATTCGGACCACCACAGAGGCCCAGAAGGAGCCCAGAAGGCCTTAGGGACTCTATGACAAGGCTTAGGAGAGAGGATCCTTCTCTGATCTTCCTCTGATCCCGTCCTCTCCTAGGCTGTCTGGCCTCTTGGTCTTTCAGGGAGCCCTAGACCCATCTCCACACAGCCATGCTGTCTTCAGCATCCTCCTGCCCATCTTCCCATTCACATGTCTCCCAGCGCCCGCTGTTGTTGTCTTGCGCTACCAGGGATCGAACACAGGGCAGTGTGCGTGCTAGGCAAACGCCCTATGGCTGTGCCACATCCTCAACCCTAGCACCTACAGTCTGAAGAGTTCCCCAATGGTGGCTCCCTGCCAAAGCCAGGAGCAGATTTCCAATCTCTCTGCTTCCCCTGCTATTGTTGCGGCTGCTCATCTGCTCCGCAGGCTTTCTTCTTTGAGCACTGGGGAGACCGATCCCTCCTCCTCTTTTTTCTCTTAAGGAAGCGGCTCAGCCTCCTTTGCAAGCCTCACTCTTCCTTTGTTCACAGATGTCAAGGTTCCTCCAGCTCTGGCTCGTCTCACCTGCACACACTCCCCCTCAAGGCTTCTGCTGGCCACCCCTGTACTGCCCGCCTGCCCCGCCTGCACCATAGACCACACATCCCCCCACCTGCCACAGTGTCTTCAGGCACCTCAACTAGCAAGTTTAAAACAGAAAGAACATTCGCCTCGGCTTCTCTGGACCAGTGAGAGCTCTGCCCTTGGTGCAGTTACCCGAGCCAGGACCGGAAGACATCCCTACCCCTGGTCCCCACTCTTCCACAGCTGCCCTAGCCTCACTGACTCCAGGCCCTTTTCTGTCATCCTCTGTCTAGAATGTGCTCTCGACAGCCTCCAAAATGTCTCCCAGATGCTCAACTGACTCAGCTGCTACACTAGAGTTATCTGTGTAAAACACAGACCTGAAGCCGGGTGGTGGTGGCGCATCCTTTAATCCCAGCACTCGGGAGGCAGAGGCAGGTGGATCTCTGTGAGTTTGAGGCCAGCCTGGGCTACAGAGTGACTTCCAGGACAGCCAGGGCTGTTACATAGAGGAAACCCTGTCTCAAAAAACACACAAACCTGATCATCACACTCTCTATTTTAAAATCCTCACCGAGGATTTTATCCTTAAGGTAGAAACTAAAACTCCTGAGCCTGGGGATGTTGCTCAGCAGCAGAGTGCTTGCCCAGCACCTGTGAAGCCCCGAGGTTCAATTCCCAGAGCTGAAGAAAAGTGGGGGGAGGAGGAGGAAGGAGGAGGGAGAGGAGGAGGAGTGGGGGAGGAGCAGAAAGAGGAGGAGGAGAAAAGGAGCAGAAGGAGAAGTAGGAGGAAAAGGAGGAAGAGGAGGAGGAGGAGGGGGAAGAGAAAGGAGGAGGAGGAAGAGAAGGACAAGAAAGAGGAGAAAAAGACAGAAAGGAGGAGGAAAGGAGAAGGAGACAACTCTTAGAGTCTTTAAACTCAGGCCTCAGCTACTTCTTCAGTGATTTTTTTCCAGATTCCAGTCTCTGACTTTGAATCTGCAGATTCTCAGCCTCCAGCGATGTCTCCTCCCTCCACTCCTCTCTCCAGCTTCACTCTGCCAATCCCTACACTTTGAGCTCTCTACTTCCTTCCTGTTTCCTCCAGGAAGTCCTTCAGATTCCCCAACTCCAGTCCATTTAAATTTCCTCTTTGGCAAATTCTATTTGGCAAAATTCCTACAGAGAAGTACAGCCTTAGTCTCCTTGACAATAAAACAAGAACAAGGCTCCCTAGCTACGTGTGGTGCACATCCATGGGCCCAGCTCCCCTGGAAGCTGAGGCCACAGGGACCCCCTTTTAAAAATATATTTATATTAATTGAGATTGTCTACCCTATTGGTTCAGTTTCAGAGAGCCTAGTGTAATCAGTGCCCCTGAAGACAGCGGACTCTGGGAAAGGTGGAGTGGTCCCCACCAATCCAGCCTTCCTCGGGAGCCCCAACTCCACCAACGTCCATTTCAAATTTCTTTGGCCCCAAGCTCTTCTCTCCACTGACTTTTTCATTTCACTAAAAAAAAAACAGAGGCCTGGGGTTGGGATTTAGCTCAGTGGTAGAGCGCTTGCCTAGCAAGCACAAGGCCCTGGGTTTGGTCCTCAGCTAAAAAAAAAAAAGAAGAGGCCTTCAGGAAGGAGCCCCTCCCCCAACATCATCTTTCAGCAGGCCTGCCTCATCTTCCCTCTGCGGGGAGATATCACTCAAAGACTAGCACTTTCACATCTCTGATCAGAGTTACACACTCTCCAATTTCATCAATTTTAGTCACACTTTCACCAATTTTAGTCACATCTTCCCTTTATCTGCTTTTGGCTATATTTTAATATTTCCCCTTGTTATTTACTGCTACTTATTTCTTAGTAACTTTTGTTTTGTTTTGCTTTTTTGGTTTTCCAAAACAGGGTTTCCCTGTGTAGCCCTGGCTGTCCTGGAAGTCACTTTGTAGCCCAGGCTGGCCTCGAACTCACAGAGATTCGCCTGCCTCTGCCTCCCAAGTGCTGGGATTAAAGGCGTGCACCACCAGGCTGGACTCTTCCCTATGTTTATAGAGGAGGTATAGGGGGTGGGGTAGAATGAGACGGCTCAGGAGGAGACAGCATCTACCACCAAGTCTGATGACCAGAGTTCAATCCCTGGAACTCACATAGTAGGAGGACAGAACTGACTCTCAAGTTGT